AAACAAAGTCCATCTTATCAGCGTTTCTTGCCAGTGTTAAACTAATGAAGCAAAATATTGCACGGGGCTAATTTTCCCCAGTTCCCCAATTTATCACAGACAAACTGCCAGGAAGAGGACGTTTCAACAACCTACGTTCAACATTTAAATGCCTTCTATTCAGATTTAGAAACTAGGTTTGAAGACGTTTTGACTATGGTAATACCACCGCGGATAATTAACCCATATGGTGACATAGAAGAAACGAATGTCATAATACAAGAGGAACTGACTGAACTAAGTACAAACGAAGAACTTAAAGTTCATTTTAAAAACGGATATCAGCAATTCTGGCTTACTTATTCTGTATTATGAAATATAGCAAGGAAATTTTTAATTTCCTTTCCATCGTCATACCTAGTGGAAAGCTGTTACCAATCTCCTAACGAAAAAAAAAGAAACAGACTGGACATCATTAGACGAGGAGATTTTAGATTAAACCTTACAAAATTGACGCCAAATGTTGATAATTTATTATTAAAGCATCAGGTTCATCCTTCTCACTAAAAACATTCAATTATTGCTTAGTTTATTTTATGTTACGTATATTTTATATAACAGAGACAAAAATTTATTTTGAGTAGTTTTAATTTATGTATAAAACTTAACATCTGTTTTTACTTTAAGTTTTTAACACTAAACTTCACTACAGTTAGAAATTTACAAAAAAAAATCAATATCAAACAAGTTTGGGAACCTCTGCTATATATTGATGGTTTTGTTTATTATAAGACTGGGACAAATTCCTATGCATTTGTTGCATTATATGAAAAAGATGATCGATTACGATTGTACATGTAATGATCATTAAGTGTTTATAATTAGGACTTGAATTCGGAGTAAAGGTATAGAAGTATCGATGGGAATGTTTACACTTGGTCCTCTTTGTTTATATTAAAGTGTATCGAACTGGAATCACGGTAGAGATTCCTTTATACTTATGTTTATATAATAATGCGACTAAGAGACGCCGTGGATGTCTCTAGTTCGTTAACACACTATATTAACAATAACACTTATGATTTATAACGTGCTTGGTTTGAGTTAGGGTAGAGTAATATTTTATTTTGTTGCTACAATGAAAACATTATATTTTCGAGAAGAGGAAAATCTGTATAAATGCTTGAACAATTATATAAAAACTGTGTATTTACATTTAGTTGTAAATTCATTACAAAACAATCAACGTTAACTTCGATATACATTTTCAAATTATCCACAGTAGCTAATTTGTATCTTTTTGTTGTAAAACTTATTCAAATACATATGTTTCGCCGCAAATAAGAATATGCATATTTAATGGCAACACTCATTAGAATATGAATACAAAATATTTGTTTATATACACTAATGTATATATAAACAAATATTGTATACTGTATTTAGTAAACATCTTTAAAAAAAATATTGAAAATTAATGTTATTTTATCAGGTCAAAAGAGGTCAGCACATGCCTGTCATCGAACAGTTAGGTGCCTTCGATCCAATTCCCAATCAAAACAACGAGAAACTGGTATCGTTGAATTTGGAAAGGATCCGACATTGGATCGGAAACGGCGCGAACGTTTCGAAACCTGTCGAACAATTATTAGGTGAGTAAATTCCCAAAACACTTGGATGTTTTTCAACTGATACGAACATTTTGAATAGGTATAAGCGGATATTTCCCAGTCCATCCCACCACTTACATGGCCGCATGGAGGAATCGGCAAGCCGAGGAAAATAAAGAGCCCGAAGTGGAACAGCAGCAGCAGCAAGCTCAATCGTCGTAGCTCTGAATTTAATTATTTTTTTGTTGTTGTAAATTTTGTGTAGGTTAATAAATATAACATTGAAGAGATAAAAATTAAACGTTTATTTTATCATGAATAAATATTTTGAATATATATATATATTTGTAATTTTCTTTCGAAGAGCTAAAAACATGTATTTTATAATATTTGTGAAGAGTGCTTTTAAAGTTCGGTGCTTAAATACGCGCTTATTGTTTCCTTATATTAAATACAAACAGATTAAAATCCTTAAGATATTGAAAATCACGACAAAAAAACAAATTAGACTAAAAACTAATTTGCCATGAAAAATGTACGTCTTACAAGTACGAAAATGAATACACTACGATTATTAAATGGCAATAGTAAAAGTAATAACAAACAAACAAACTAAAAGAAAAAAAACAACTGGTAAGGAATATATAACGAACGTTCGCTTCTTGTGCGAATCAAGAAATCGGAATCTCAATTAAACAAAAAACAAGTCATTTAAAAGTTTCAAAACGTTTGGGGTAATGCCAAGACTGTCTGCGGACGAGAGAGATAGAGCCTAGTGTTCTTTGGTCAAGACTTTGTTTGCTGCAACAGAAGAATTTTACTGATAATTACAACACGCGAAACAAATTGATGATTTAATTGAACTGTACACATGTGTTAAAATATAATAGGGATTCATCGTTTCGAATTTGCGGAGAGGGGGATTCATTATGCATTACCATTCTCGCCGTTGTGCTCGAGGAACTTTGGCCTGATGATCCTGTTGTAGATGATGATGGATCCGTTCAGTTCGGTTGGCATCATCAGCCAAACCATGAAGATGCACTGCAAAAAGAATTTTGTTGAATTTGTTTATAATTGCAAATGATGACACACGATGTTGATGACACTTATTAAAATACGCGCTCTAAGAATGCAGACACGTTTATTTTTAACGGACAACAACAAGGAACCCAGGGAAATTGGCAGAATACACGGCAATTGATCGCTAAAGTAGAATAACTTAAAAATAGATCATTCGAGCAATCACAGTTATATGAATAAAATTATCAATGAATATCATAATAAAATATTATCAAGCACTGGAATATAATAGGAAAAAATGTAGTTTCTAAGTAATAAAGTACTGTGGAAACTGTAATTTCTTCAGATTTGACAACAGTATAATAGGAACAACATCTAACGAAACATTTTGATTCATAATTGATCACCAATTTGAGTGATGGAACATTATGCCTTTCTGTTTGTCCGTTTAGTATAGATATGGAGGCGGACAGTTAAAGTTGGGCGCCCTGTTCTGATTCTGTCTAAGGAACTGGATAAACTATTTAGAGATCCTCAACTAATACTATGTAGGGGCTCCAATTAAAGTTGGGCTTTTCTTTGTCTATAAAGAGCCCATGGTTTTGCCACTTTAGATAATTACTAAAGGGTTAGTCCTTCATGTATGTCTGTTAACATAACAACACAAGCTCACCAACATTAAATGTTGAAGAAACGACGACTGGTAAGACCCATGACTTGAACCTTTTCAGTTTTCAACGATCATCACTTGTATTAGTTAACAAATGGATTAAAGGCATTTTGTTGTAGTCATAGATTTACTTACTTTGAAGAACCAGTACAAGGGAAGCCATCCAGTGATGATGTCTGTGAAGAACTCGAGCAACGAGAAGATTGCGAAAACCACCCAGTAAGTTAACCACTTCTTATCGTCGTCGGTGCGAGCGCTCTCGATGGCATGCATGGAAGCGTACGCTGGATACACGAATCCTACAAGATTGCACACCAATTGGCCGGCATAACCGAATACCAACCATAATCCAATAAAGACCACTACCCCTGAAACGTGAAAAAATAAACGATTAATAATTACACATACGCTCATCTACATGACACAACTATTACATCCGATGTATGCATTCAATTTGTATTTAAATATCATGCTAATTGATTTTGTATGACAGTCAACTGTGATTACTTCCAAAATTAGACGTTTATTTTGTCACAATTTTATACATTACATATCTGCGTTCCTTGAGAACAACCTTAGTATCAGTATAATACAACAAATGTTAACTTCTCAGATTACTCACGAAATTCTCATGTTACTTTTGACTTTGATTTCTCTGAGCAAATAATAAATGTGCATGTAATCATAGACTTGCACTTGATAGCCTTCAGCAAAATTGCTAACTATTATACATGATTAATTGTTAAATAAATTAATTGCTTCACATTTTTTTTATTTGAAACAATAAGTTTCAGAATTGTTTAAATAAAATGTGTTCAATTCGAAAATGTTAATTAAATTCTCTTTTTTTTTTTATTGAAAAGAAGTTGGCACGAACATCTTGGCTCATTGCAGTTCCAAATGTACTATTTATATATCTACATATACCAGGTGTTTCACAAGAAACGCCAGCAAAGAATTCCAAGCAAAACTTGTTGTTGCCATTGAACCGAAGACTAAAGAAAAATCATCTCCTAAAAACATTGGGAATATAGCCATACCGCGCATAGTCCGGGTAATCGATTTCGCCAATATCCCGTACTAATGGAGGACTTTACAACCGCATAAAAATAAAGATCACAAAAATAAATTTCACTTTATAAAGGAAAACAAAAACGATAATTAATGAATAATAATGTTGTGTACTATATTTAAATTTTTTTATTTCTTTTTTTCAAAGAACAACGAATATTTTCATAATTTTTTGATTCTATACTGTAAACATATGTATGTTTCTTATCACTCATCCAAGCTATGTCCACGTTGCTTAACTTTCGTAAGTTATCATATATCAATGAATATTTAAGATTTTTTTTTACTGCAGATTATAAAGTTGGAAATATTTTATAATCTTCAAATTTCTGATAGAATTGAAACATTTGCAATCTTTTTAAATTAAACCAAAGCAATTTAATGAGCAACTACACAGTTTAGTAACATATTGTATAGATATTTCATGATCCAATATCACTTCAACCCTGACAATATATGCAATTTAAAAAATTGTTATCTGATATCAACGAAATATAAAAAAAACGTGTTATCTTCAATTACAACATTTAAGCTGGATTTTGTGTTATCATTGGATTTAGTACTAAATATAAATTTGTACTTTGAGTTTCAATTTCTCCTCATTCAGCACTTACTCAGAAAATTGATAGAGACAAAAGTGCAATCTGACCAAAATACTACTCTTCGAGTGGTCCACGATTAATCGGAAAGATAAAAAAGCAGTTTTGTTTCGTAATTCGTAGAAATTTAATAACCTAATTGAAGATTCTCAATCATTGAATCAACGCAATCTTCATTATTTAATTGAACACAACAAAAAATATTCGTAAAATTGTATAGTTAAAAATTAATTGGATCCAATTGGAATTCGCGTGCGTCTATTGGAAAGTTAAGACAAATTATCAATTATATACCAAATAATATAGATCAAGATGGTCTTCTCAGAAAAAAAATGAACAGCTTTCTCCGCAACACCGGTATTAAATAAAAGAATAACGATTTTACTTGTCACTTTCGGCTTCATGAACGAGTCATCGTGTTATGATATAAATTGGATATAATGTTAGAATATAATTTTATAGATATACTTTTTACTGTTTTGCCTGAAATTATCGATATTTCGAGGATCAGAACTAAATCCTTGCAAATTGTATAAATTACAAAACTACGTTGTTGGTGTCTTTCAAAATTGTTTTACAATATGTCGTGTGTTTTAATGATATTAAATAAAACCAATTAGGCTGGAAATACAATAGAATATGTGAAATTATTGTATGTGTGTATACTTTAACCTTTGGAACTTCACCTAGTCTGAAATGAACAATGAAAAAAGGTGCAAACGTTTTGCTCACCAAGGAAGATAACTGTGCGATTTACACCAGTTGCGGCTTCGACTTTGCCCATAACGGAGCCCCAGGGCTTCGACTCGTCGTGCAAGGACTTGTCCAATTGGTCTTTCACTTCCATTATGCTTGCTGCCATTTTTATTTGTTCACTAGAAATTTTTCCTGTGGGCCAAATCCAAAAAAAAATGCGTACAAAACGATCCTCCTTCTTTACACTCCACTTTCAAACTGTTAATTTTTTGGACGATACATTGCTTCTTTTTTTTTTGAAGGTTAAATATAAACGTCAGTGCTGCCAACGCAATCCAATTCTGAGAACCTCCGATAATTAAACGAATAACGCAAATATATATTCATATGTACAATGCAAGTGAGAAATTAGATTTCTTCAGTTAAATAGCTTAACGTATTTTTGCTTTAGTTTGGTATTAAATAAAAATGCATAGTTTTTGTTTCGTTTGTTGGCAGTTCTGATAGAACTGGATGGAACAACATAGGAACGTTAAAAAACCCTATACTATACGTATTGGCTCACTTCGATCAGTGGACTCCATTGGAATTGTTACCTAATCACCAAAGTCAACAATAAGAAATGTAAGGGTATTTTTTTTTTATCTCTGGATGAGTTAAAGATTTGCGTGAGTGTTAATATTAATGCGTGAGGTTTTCCAGATGTTCCCAGTCGTGAGAGCCGCCGCCAGGGCTTTGCCCCAAGCTAGCCAGGCCTTGATCCAGGCTCAAACCAGAACCATCCTCTCAGGACCCCCGAAAGTGCGTATCTCCTTGACTGAGAAGGCACTCCATGGAATGTTCTTGACTGCATCGTTCTTTGGCATTCCCTTCTACATCTTGTACAATATTCCATCTTACAGGCAATAGATCAAATACTATAGTCAATTCTGTAGTGAAATTATTATACATGTAATATTTATGTTCAAATAAAGTGAGTTGATTACTAGTTCATTCCATTTTTTTTTTTAATAATGTGAAGTAAATGTAGTATAGTCTAATTCTAATTAACATGTTCTTCAGTTCTAATATTTAAAGTATATTATGCAACTAAATTAACGATTTTTTTTTAGAAATTTATCCTTAATCCCAGGATTGGATACTTTCAAATATCACTTTAGATTGCAAAATAAAATCTTTGAAAATATTGCCAACTTCTGCAGCTTTGTGATAAAGAAATGTGTTTAATTAGTCTAAATCAGCGTTTTCCAAACTGTGAGGCGCGCCTCCCTGGGGAGGTGTGGACTAGTCTAATTCCTGTGCTCTTATCCATATTGCTATAATACGCGTTCAAAGTTAAAAATTGAAATTAGAACGTTCGAAAAAGCAGTGTTTTCACATTTTATTGATTTACTCGAAAACTATAATAGATAGAATTAATCCAAAAGATGCATAA